GTATAGATGTGCTCTACACAATTGATCTATGTATTGTGATGAATTTTATGAGCCCCAATACATTGATTTTTTTTTAAATTAAAAAAAAAAGAAATATTATCAGTAGGGCATAAACCCCACCTATAGGGACCAAACCAATGACTGCCAGCCTTTAGGAAGAAGTAGCCCATTGTCCTTAACAGCAGGGAGTGGGCTCCACCTGTGGTGGGCCCAGACCTTAATCTGGCAACTGACTGCCTTCAGGGAGGTAACTTGACAATTATTAACCATTCGCTGCAAGCAGTGTCCTAAGTCTCACATGTATTAGAGGGAGATGACTTGAGCGAAATCTTTCTGTTTCCCACAGGAGGGAGGGGACCAAAGAAATGGTTCTTTTGAAGTGGCCAGTGATATACTTTCCTGTGCCTTTTGTTTTCCCAAAGAGAAAAGACGCTGCCATTTTCCTGCACATGTGCGTGTGGGTCTGTGTGTGTCTGTGTGCGGGTCTTTCGAGTACAGTTCTCTTGTCCCACATCCTCTCTTCAGGTCCTCCACTTTGCTGATGTCACAGGAAGCCCCTCATCAGACGCTGCAAAAGGGCAGGTGAGTCAAATAGCTCTAGGACTGAGTGGCCTCAGATCTCCATGGGGGGGTCAGGGTGAAAACTGAGGGAAATGTCACAGAAAGTGTGAAACATCCATTTGGGGAGGTATTTTGGGGTAACTAAGGTAAGTTTATAGGGAGTTGTTTCACATTTTATGTCATGGATGGTTAAGAGATTTCCAAAAGGAACCCAGAGTGGTTGGCTTCCTGTTTTTGGTTTACAGAAAGGTAGTCAGTCTTGTACTGAAGAGCCAGAGCAAAGGAGACAGACATTCTGGGTTCGAATCCCAGACATTCTGGGTTCGTCACTGCTCTGAGCCCCAGGGAGTTCCTTCCAGAAGCCCAGCAGTCAGAAGAAGAGCTGCCCTGAGACACCTGCAAAATTCTCCGAGTCCTGAGTTTGGCATGGCTCAGGGTCAGGCTGGAGTCCTGTTGGCACAGTAGATTAACTGTTGGGCTGCTAACCAAAAGGTCAGCAGTTCAAGCCCACCAGCTGATGAGAGGAAGAAAGATGAGGCTTTCTGTTTCTTTGAAGATTTACCACCTCAGAAACACACAGGACAGTTCTACTCTGTCCCATAGGGCCACTATGAGTTGGAATTGACAAGATGACCGTGAGATTTTTGAAGGAGTCAGGTAGATTCCATAATAAACAACAGTTCTACTGGGAACACGAACAAGGGAACTTCTGGAATACAATCTACTTATAAGTAGGGGATGGCTGTTAAAAGAAAAATGGCCACGTGTCTGCTCTCAATTGGAACTTTTCTGAGAAACAAGAATAGTCCTAGGGAAAGTCAGCTACATATTCTAGTCAGCTAAGCTTTTTTATTTTTCTTTCATTTTAAAGAACCAAGATGGAAAATACCTAACCAAAAATACTTAGGAAAGTTCAAACTAACCCAAAGGCCACAGATCCATAAGCTTAACGAAGCAGCCCTCACAGAAGTTCCTCTTTTATAAAACCCACATTCTACCCATGATGCAAATATCAACCAGTTACCGTGATTCCCACATGGGGAAAAAACTGGTTAAAATAGAACCTGACAAGTCAATTTCTCCCCAAAGGAAACTCCCTGGCAGTTCTGAAGAGCTGACTGCTGTTCTCCAATAAACCCTGCCCACCAAACAGCTAAAAGGAATCAACTGTCTTTCGAACACTGCCTTCAGGAGAGACTTTTGGCCAAAGTTTTACCGTATGGGTATAAGACCCATTTCAAATCCGAGAGCATCTGTTAAGTACCTACCACATGGCAGGAGCCAAATTTACCCTGGGGATTTATGTAAAGAAAATATGGAACAGACATCCAGGAGCTCACGGTCCAGAAGCAGGCACCCTCAAACTACGGCCTGCGGGCCACATGTGGCCCGCCAAGGACATTTATCAGGCCCACCGGGTGTTTTTGCCCTGTTTGTTTTTCACTTCAAAATAAGATATGTTCAGTGTGCATAGGAATTTGTTCATAGTTTTTTTTAACCTATAGTCCAGCCCTCCAATGGGTCTGAGGGACAGTGAACTGGCCCCTGTTAAAAAAGTTGGAAGACCCCTGGAGGTCGTGAATGACCTAAGCATATAACACTCATGACACTAATATCACTGTCATTGACTTCTCTGAACCACTGATTCTCTCCCAGGAACTCTTTTGGCTCCTGGGGGAACACTGGGCAGTGTCTGAAGACAGATTCTATTTGTCATAACTGGGGTGAATGGGTGCTACCGGCATCTAGAGTGTGAAGGCCAGACACGCCACGAGGCATCCTGAAATGCCTGGCAGAGGACAGCACCTCGTAGCATGAGGCCATTGTGCCATTTGTATCAAGGACTAGAAATTGTGTTCTCAACAAAATGAACTAGGAAGATAGCAGAGTGTCAGATCTTCCTCCATGGAGCAGCTTGAGCATGTCCCATCCAGCTGTATGGCAATGCCTCCCCCAAGCACCCGGAGCACATGCTGTCCTTCGCTCAGGGTGCAGCCTTGACCCAGGAGGAAGTCCGAGTGAATGTGAATTAGAGGATAACATCATTGAAGGGTGTGGCAGGGTTTCATGTCTCAACATAATGATGAGATCTGACCTGTCGGTAAGCAAGCCATGTTCTCAGTGGCTGCTAGGAGTGAGATATGGTCCTTGCTCTGAGGAATGTGGAGTTTGGCTGGGAGGCTGGGGCTCTCCATGGCACCTATGAAAGGATAGTTCAGCAGCTGAAAGCATGATGCTCATTAGGAGTTCGAAACAGAGAAGACCATGTCGGTTAGAAGGAGGAGCTTAAACACCAAGTGTCAGACCAACACCCATAGTCAGGGAGTAAGGTCAAACAAAGGTTGACCGAGGGTTAGATATGGTTGGGTGTGATATTTACCTTGTCAGGGTAATTCAACAAGCTTCATGTTTGCTGTTGGCAGATGGCGAAAAAAGAGAATGTGCATTCACAATTTCGAAAGCTTCTGACTGAACTAAATAACCCCACTGATGCATATGCGCTGACCATTGCCAACAGGCTCTATGTAGAACAAAAGTATCAGTTGCTTCAGGTAAGTCTCATGGGACTTTCCAACCTTCTCACCTGCTTCCTGGGTCCTACAGAGGAGAGGGGGTCAGAGAAGTCCAGTAGATTCACTTGGGAAGGACTTGCCCAGGAGCCTCAGGCCCTCATACACAATGCTACCCCACTGGAGGTCACTGTAGGAACCCTCACGGAGTAATGAGTTGGGCATTGGGCTGAAAACCTCAAGGTGAGCAGTTCCAACTCACCAGAAGTTCCTTGGGAGCCAGTTGAAGCTTTCTGTTCCTGTAAGGATTTACAGCCTCAGGTACCCCAAAGGGCAGTTCCACTCGGTCCTGTAGGCTCGCTATGAACAAGAATCAGCGGGCGGGAGCTCTTGGGTTGGTGCTGGCAGTTTGAAACCAGTCAATAATCTAAAGATTGATGCTTTGAACCTACCAAGCAGCTCTGTGATGGAAATGCCTGGCAAATCCTCCCCTGTAAAGATGGTGTTGTGATTGTTGGAAACACTCAAGCCCATTCCAACTCATGGCCACCCTGGAGGATAAAGCACGGCTGTGTCATCGGGTTCACAGCTGAGCAAACCCAATGGAGCATTTCAGCTCCCGAACACATGGAGTTGCCTTCAGTTGGCATTGAGTTGATGGTAATGGCCTTTTGGACTATCACAGAACTGACCAGGAAACCTACCCGTGAAGTATGGATTTGAGGTTATCTCATAAAGTCAGAGAGGAGGTTGGGGAGTGTCACTAATGCACCAGCACCAATTAGGGTCCACAGAAACTGTGTAAAATTTGGTGTGGAATGATTCGAGAAATATGTAATAATTGGAATATTGATGGGATGGGCCTCCTTGAGTGTGGCTTGGGAACACTGGGTAATACTGGGAACTATTGACTTCCCAGGTGGAAGAGATAAGGCAAGATGAGAACGTTTCAAATGACCAGTGAAAAGTGCTTAAGCCAACCATCCTTTTGGGCCTTTTGAAGCCCCTTCTCTTCCTGCCTTTTCTCCAGATGTTACTGCCCTTTAGTGTTTCTTTCTCATGCCAACCTTCCCTGTCCTTTCATGCTAATACATCACATCTTCATAAACATGTGCACAGAGCATTAGATAATCACTTGCCCAGTCTTGAAGCCTGTTTCCTATATCATGTTGGGATTTGAAACCATTTAATTTAGCTCCACTGATCCATTTGTTACTCTTTTCTTTCTTCCATCTCAAAGAAATACTTGGATGATGCTAAGAAATTTTACCTGTCCGGTGCAGAAGCTGTTAATTTTGGAAATGCTGCAGAAAAAAGCCGAAAGGACATAAATTCCTGGGTGGAAAAGCAAACACATGGTAGGTGAGGGTGGATTGTTCGTCATAGAAGCTTTTCTTAAGCACCCATTGCAGGTACAACTCTATGCTTGATGCTGCGTGTGGCCCAGGGCTGGGGTTGGGAGGACTGTGGAAATGGATGCTTCAGAGTCCAAAGGTTGGGCTGAGCAGAGAGGATGGGGAAAGTCCTGAAGATGGTGGGGATCTGAAAAATAGTGGGGAAAGACAAGGGGATCGCAGGATGGCAGTCACATGGAGAGAAGGTGCACATGGCTGCAGGTGACAATATCTTGGTGGCTCCCCAGTCTCTTCTAACACTCATCTTGGATTCACATCTTTTTCTCAAAATCAGAGCCTTCAGTTCTGATTCTGGATCCTTTAAAGAAAATGTTCAATAAATTCATGGCCATCTGATCAATTCCTACTCACAGAGACCCTATGGGACAGAGTAGAATGGCCTCTATGGGTTTTCGAGGTTGTAAACCTTATAGGAGTACAAAGCTTCATCTTTCCGCTGAAGAGCTGCTGTGGTTTTGAACTGCTGACCTTGCAGTTAGCACATGAACATACTACTGCTCTACCAGGAGGTTAATTTCCCTCTGTTACACAGAAAACAAGCAATTCTCCTGTAAATCCCTCTTCTTGCCATCTGTCCTTTGGCCCCTCACATCTCTCTCCACATGCCAGCAGGTACCATCAACGCTGAAAGCACAACAGTCTCCATCGTGGGGACACATGTACATGTCCACCATCTGTTATGAACCAAACTTAAAAGAATTCATGATGAGGTCGATGATATCAACCAGCAGTTAAGTTCTCTACTATGAGATCAAAGGGTGGTGGTCCAAACCACAAAAGACAGAACAGGCGATCTGCTTCCATAAAAGTTACAGCCTTGAAAATCCTACAGAGCAGTTCCACTACACACACACACACACACACACACACACACACACACACACACACACCCTGGGCTACCCTAAGCTGAAGAAATCAACTCAAAGGCAACTAACAACAGGGGCAGAGAGTCACAAACTTCAAGTAGTAGGAAGACACCCACCTTCCCAAGGGAGTGGTGTCTGACAGCAAAGGGCATTTGTTTCAGATGATAGATTTCATACTATGAATCATTTTTTCAGTATGTGGTGAAATCACAAATCTTTCCCATCACAATCAGAAGTGACTCTTAGAGTCACGCCGAGGGATTACTCTCACCTGGCTAGCACCATGAAGAAAGGTACACCAGGGACACTGTTGGCTCTTGAGTTCCTAAAGTGGTCAGTTGGGTGAATAATCTATAATCAGTCATGACCACTTGCAAGATATCTTCCAGGAAAACCATGTATAGCTTGCATGGCAGATCAGTGTAATCCTTTTCTTCTTGTTTTTTAACAGGAAAAATCCAGGACCTGTTCCCTGAGGGCTCCCTCAGCTCGTCCACGATACTGGTCCTGGTGAATGCCATCTATTTTAAAGGGCAGTGGGACCGTAAATTTAATAAAGAAATTACAGAAGAGGAAAAATTCTGGCAGAACAAGGTCTAGTCTACATCTTGCTTACATAATGTAATGTAGCTATGTGAACTTGGGTGTTAACTTGACGTTCACGCCTGATAATGCACACCTGTAGGTTGTTGTTGTTGTTGTCATTGTTGTTGTTGTTAGGTGCCTTATAACCAGTTCTGGCTCATAACTACCCTATCTGTGTACAACAGGAAAAACCATCGCCCATTTCCTCACCATCTACACAATTGTTCTTAAGTTTGAGCCCATTGTTGCAGCTACTGCATTAATCTATTGTGCTGAGGGTCCTCCTCTTTTTGGCTGCCCCACGACTTTGCCAACCATGATGTCCTACTCCAGAGACTAGCCTATCCTGATAACATGTCCAACGTACATGAGATGTAGTCTCACCATCCTTGCCTCTAAGGAACATTCTGATGGTACTTCTTCCAAGATATGTCTGTTTGTTCTTTTGGCAGTCCATGGTACTTTCATGTTCTTCACCAACATCATAGTTCAAATGTGTTGCTTTTTTTTTTAATCCCTGATCATCCTTATTCAATGTCCAACATTCACATGCATATGAGGCGATGGAAAATACCATGGCTTGGGTCAAGCACACCTTATTCCTCAAAGTAACATCCTTGCTTTTCAACCCTTGAAAGAGGTCTTGGGCAGCAGTTTGACCCAGTGCACTGTGTACTTTGATCTCTTGATGGCTGCTTCCCTGAGCATTGATTGTGGGTCTAAACCAGATGAAGTCCTTGAAACTTCAGGATTTTCTCTGTTGATCATGATGTTACCTATTGGTCCAGTTGTGAGGATTTTGATCTTCTTGACCTTGACTTGGAACCCATACTGAAAGCTACAATCCTTGATCTTCATTGGCAAGTGTTTCGTGTCCTGCTCACTTTCAGCAGTCAAGGTTGTGTCATAAGCATATCGCAGGTTGTTAATAGGACTTCCCCCAATCCTGGTGCCACATTCTTCTTCATGTAATCCAGTGTCTCTGATTATTTGCTCAGCATACAGTATAGTGAGAAGACACGCACTGATGCACACCTTTCTCGATTTCAAACCATGCACTATGCCCTTGTTTTGTTTGCACAACTGTCTCTTGATGCATACACAGGTTCCACATGAGCACAATTGTGTTTTCCAGAATTCCCATCTTCTCAAGGCTAAGCACAGTTTTTAATGATCCATAGCGCCCAATGCCTTGGTATAGTCAATGAACCTTCTGGTATTCTCTTCTTTCAGCCAAGGTCTATCCGACATCAGCAATGATAGCCTTGGTTCCACATCCTCTTCTGAGTTCAGCCTGAACCTCTGCCAACTCCCTGTCAATATCCTGCTTCACACGTTGTTGGATGATCTTCAGCAAAAGTTTACTTTCATGTGATATCAGTGATATTGTTCTATAACATAAGCATTCTATTAAATCATCTTTCTTTGCAATGGGTGCGAATATGGATCTCTTCCAGTCAATTGGCCAAGTAGCTGTATTCCAAATTACTGGCGTAGATAAGTGAGTGCTTCCAGTGCTTCATCAGCTTATTGAAACACTTCAATTAGTATTCCATCAATATATGGGGCCTTGTTTTTGGCTAAGTATAGCTTGGACTTCTCCTTTTAGTACCACTGTTCTTGCTCAAATACCACCTATTAAAATGATTGAATGTCAACAATTTCTTTTAGGTATGGTGATTCGGTGTATTCCCTTCATCGTCTTTTGATGCTTCCTGTATCACTGACTATTTTGCCCATAGAATCTTTTAATATGTAACTTGGGATATTTAAGGTTTATTGTGTCAACCTGGCCGATAAGCACATGTGGGGTTAATTGAAGGGTGGAGAGATAAATGGCTCGGTGAGCCTAACCTTTCTAGTTCTCAGGTCTCTTGCTTTCTAATGGTGAGACCAGGGTGCAGGTGCCTTAGCCATTTCCCTGCGTCAGTTGGCGAGGATCACTTCCTGCAAGACATCAGCCCTGGGTGCTGGAGAAACCATGTGGAGCCCCCTGCCAGAACTGGGATGCTTACGCGCTGACTGATCTGGCTTTCCTCCTGCAGTCGGTGTCATTGGGTGTGTTTTGTGAGATGGAGGAGGACTTTGTAGATCGGTGTCAGATATGGGCTAATGTTGGATTTATGGCCTTGGACAGCACTGAGTTGGGATGCTTTCTTAATGTACACTTACCCTTTATATGAAACTCTCTCTTATATATCTATGAGCTTCTGTGGATTTGTTTCCCTAGTTTACCCAGACTAACACATTATGGCACCTCTAGGCTTGAATTTTTTCTTGAGTTTTTCAGTTTACTATATGCTGAGTATGTTCTTCCTTTTTTATTTTCTAACTCAAAATGTAATGAACAATTGGTAGAGAGTGGAAAATCTCTGATGGTTATTTTGTTGTTTGTTTTAGTTGTTGTTATTGTCATCTTGTTGTGACGTCATTTGCTCGAGAGTTCTTGAAAAAAATGTTATGCACCACCGTAACCAAGAGTAACCTCAAATTGTCATTCTAGAAAACACTTATAGAATTTACACTTGGGAAAAATGTCGTATATGGACATGGACAATGAAAATCGATATAGCAGCACGATTTAGAAGAAACGATTCTGAACTTTTTTTAAGAGTTAGGCTTTGCTTCCTCCTGGTTGTATGACTTGGTTGAAGTTTTATTTCTTGTCTGGCTGATCTTTGAGGCTCTCTTGATGGACCAAGAAGACATCTTGGTCCCTCGGTCTCAAGTTCCCTTGTGACCACTTAGGAGGAAAGAATACGGTGGTATCACAATAATATTAATTGTTTTTCAATCTTATACCTCCCTTGGGTTTGTTTGCTTGTTTGTTTTATCATATTTATTTGTTATAGGACACGAGCAAATCTGTGATGATGATGAAGCAAAGAGAGTCCTTTAATTTGGCCTTCCTGGATGACATGCAAGCCAAGATCTTGGAAATCCCATACAAAGGCGAAGACCTCAGCATGTTTGTCCTGCTGCCGAATGAAGTCGATGGACTCCAGAAGGTAAACCTCCTCCCTGACTTTTCAGTCTGCGGCCTGGTTCCCTGCTGGGACTGAGATGCTTGTGTGGGCAGTTCTTTGAACCAATACTTGCCAATTGGAAGTGGTAGATGGCAGAGCTTAAATATAGACTATGCCACTGCTTCTCTGCACAGAGCCTGTGGGAGAATTGTTAAGGGAAACCTGGCACAATACAACAAAACCACCCTGAAGTAAACATTACACAAAGGTTTAACACGCTCGGCTACTGATCAAAAGATTGATGGTTTGGGTTCGGCTGGAGGCATCTCAGAAGAAAGTGATCTGGTGATAAATCACCACAATGGAGCATCGTATGAGGCATACGGGATCCGCGGACACATGGCATCACCATGGGTCAGGATCAAGTCAATGAGCACTGATCATCACAGTCTGATATGGAAGAATGTGTGCGAATAGTAACTTCACAGAGGCCATCAACGTTCTGATGGAAACCAGAATGAAATATGTGCACACGCATATGAAACTTCGCAGCCTTAAGAACCTCTGATATCATTCAATCTCGGAACTAAGCCTCAGGGTTAGGAAGCTCATGAGGAAATGGTGTGCATTCACCAGGAAGCAACACCAACCAAATTAAGAGTCTGAGGGGGTGCCACCACAAGGTTCCACTCCTTAACTCAGGGTGGTTTAGTGAGCAAGTAGATAAATGGGTTTATTTTCAATGCCCACTATTTAGAAGTATTCTGACCAAAGAGCTCAAAAATCATCCTGTGCCTCCATCCTGGGACACCTAGTACAAAATAAAATGGATGAGTAAAATTCTCCTCTTAATATTGTTCTGTTATTGTTGCTGTAACGTTAAAAAGTATCAGCAGGATCTGGCATGTGAAAGACACTCCAATGGCGCTGCTGAATTGGCCATGAGACACCCAGGTGGCACCAGCTGATAACTTTGGAGACGGGTCGTCCTGGGGGCAGTGATATGGCCACGTGTATGAAGAACCATTGCAGTGTTCATATTCTGGGTCCGTGGCCTCCGTTATCACACATTGATGCTCCCAGTCCTGGGGTTTTATCCTAAAGCAACAAGTCTACATCAGGCAAACACTTTTGGACCAAACCCATTTCCTAAAGTTGATGTCAACATGTGGTTATTATTCGATGCCATCAAGTTGGTTCCATCTCAGAGCAACCTCAGGGACAACAGAAGGAAATGCCATCCTGTCCTGTGCCCTCCTCACCACCATAGCCATGTTCAAGGCCATCATTGCAGTCACCGTGCCCATCCACCCCGTCGAGGGTTTCCGCTTTTTCACTGTCGCCCCACTTTATCAGGCGTGATAACCTTTCCCGGGGATTGGTCTCTCCTGATAACATGTCGGAAGTACATGCGACAAAGTCTCGCCATCCTCGCTTCTAAGGAACATTCTGGATATACTTCTTCCCAGTTGGATTTTTTTGTTCTTTGGGCAACTCACAGTAGCCTTAAAGGGCAGCGTAGACTGCCCTGTGGAGTTTCTAAAACCGTAACCTTCACAGCACTTGACTGCCACATCTTTCTCCCCTTAAGCAGTTGAGTTCGAACCACCTATCTTTCAGTTATTACTCAGGCACTTAACCACTGTGCCAAGAACCAAACCCGTTGCCACCAAGTCGATTCCAACTCAAAGCGACCCCATATGACGAAGTAGAACTTCCAAAAAGATTTCTAAGACTGTCGTATTTGCAGAAGCAGTCTTCCACATCCTGTAAATTTTATCCACCAACCTTTAATTAATAACCGATCACTTAACCACTACAGAAACATTCAAAACAAGTAACAAGGATCCATCTTAGCATTAAAGTGTTTCGAATAGGACCTGGCACACACAGAATGTTTAATAAACACTAGTTGCATAAAATTTGGATTATGGTGTTGGTGAAGAACATTGACAGTACCTTGGACTGTCCAAAGAACAAACACATCTATTGAAAGGAAGTTCAGCCTGTATGCTCCTGAAAAGCCAGGACGCCAAGACTTCATCTCCCACACGCTGGGTGTGTCGTCCCGGGAGATCTGTCCTCGGAGCAGGGCATCGTGCTTGCTAAAGCAGAGTCAGCAGAGAAGAAGAAGCTGCTCAATGAAATGATGAACCCAGAGCCTGCAATGATGGGCTCAGACGTTCCAGCGGACACAGCGCATTCATGAGGAAGGTGCCGGGCCAGGCTGTTGTGTCGTGACAGTGTGGCTATGAGTTGGGAAGGACTCGATGGCAGCGAACAGCAAGTGATGTACATTGAATAGCAGTGTGATGATATTGGCTCAAAGCAACTTAGATGTAACTGAGAGTCAGAGACAGCAATGTGGGGAAAGTTTACAAATATGTCATGGAAAAAGGAAAGAAACAAATAAGGGCAAACTCTAATTGCATGATTTAATATGTTTATGTATGTATATATGCACAGGGACAATAATAAAAAGAGGCAACATTAAAATGAATAGTGCAGTCAGTACTCGGTGGCATAAGGAATAGTGATTATAGAATTCATGATTTATAAAATAATTCAATACAAGGTCTCTTTGTACCCATTTCCTAGGGTTGCCATAACAAAGTGTCACAAGTAGGTGACTAAAAAGATCAGAAATTTGTGACTTCACAGTTCTGGGGCCAAAAGTCCAAGTTAAGGTGTCTGTAGGCTATGCTATCTTAGAAGGCCCAAGAAAGCATCTTCAACCCCTGCTTCATCCAGCATCTCATGTCCCCTTCTGGTGCCAATCCTTGGCTACCTCGCCTGTGGATGCATCACTGCAGTCTCAGCCTCTGTCCTCACATGACAGTCTCCCCTCAAGTTTGGTCGCATTCACAGGGACTTGGGATTAGGACTTTAACTAATCTTTTCAGGGGCACGTTATTCAACTCAGAACGTTTTCCTGTGTATAGGAGTGGGTTTCCAAAAGTTCATGGAAAATTAGAACTAAAAGATCGGAAATTTTCCATAAATTTGTTGAAGCCCTTCCGGGTACACAGGCATCATAAAAATAAAATCATAGATAGCATATAATACATACATAATACAGAAAGAAAACGTGTTATATGTAGTTGTTACATGTTTGTTTTATAATGTGTGTACATGTGGTGTGTATATGTGTACATGATGTGTACATTTATAACATGTATATATTGTACATGCAATACAATAAGATCTTATTGCATATGTATACAACATATATATATATATGCTTCATTTTCAGGACTGTGGCATATATGGTTATGTACTGGGCCTACTAACTGCAATTTCAGCACCAAGCTCTCTGCGGGAGAAAGATAAAGCTTTCATTTCCATAAAATTACAGCCTTAGAAAACCAAAAGGGTAGTTCCGCTTTTCTGTAGGGTCCTTCTAATCAAAACCACCTTGATGGCAGGGGTTTGTCATTAAGAAAGAGGAGAGGGTCTGTGCAAAAGGGGAAGACCCTCAAGAAGATGGAATGACACAGTGGCTGCAACAATGGGCTCAGACGTAGCAGTAATTGTGTGGCTGTCATAGGACCGGGCAGTCTTTCTTTCTGTTGCACATAAGATCACAATGAGCCCGAACCAACTCCACAGCACCTAAAGACACTTGCATCAGACATTCATCTATCTGGAATGAGCCCTCCGTATTTCACATTGATCATTGAAGGCTTTCCACCGCTTCAATCCAATGCAGTGTTGTGTGTCCATAAATACTCATGTCTGTCCCTTTTTTCCATTGTTACAGATTGAAGATACACTCAGTGTAGAAAAGTTTCTGGAGTGGACAAGCCCCTCGTTTATGAAGAAGACCAAAGTGGACTTGAACTTGCCCCGGTTCAGAGTGGAGGATAAATACAGCCTCAGCGCCATGATGATAGCCCTGGGCATGGTGGACGCCTTCAGTCCACAGGATGCCGACTTCTCCGGCATGACAGGGCGCAGGAACCTGGTGCTGTCGAAGGCCCTCCACAAAGCCTTTGTGGAGGTGAATGAAGAGGGGACTGAGGCAGCAGCCGCCACGGGCATAGAAGCGGTCCCAATGTCCTTACCCTACTATGAACCCTTCCACTGCAACCACCCTTTCGTGTTCTTCATCAAGCAGAAGAAGACCAACAGCCTTCTCTTCTTTGGCAGAATCACTTCCCCCTAAAAAAAAAAAAAAGAAGAGCTCGGTTTTGTTGCAGTAAAATTAGTTCTAGAAACTATGGATTCTCCTTCACTCATTATCCTTTTCAATCCCTCCATCAACCCAAAGAATGTAGAGCTTAAAACAGTAGATCGGTCTACCTCTGTCTTCACACACTCACAAACATTTTTGTGTTTGGGGTTTTCTTTTCTCCCATGAACATTCCCATTGGAACAAAATACTGGGTTTCAAGAAAAGATAAAGGACTCTTTCAACACTACATCTGCTCTTAGGAGGAGCTCTGTTGATGTGGTGGGTTACAAGTCAGGCTGCTAACCTCAAGTTCAACAGTTTGAAACCACTCATCGCTCCGTAGGAGAAAGATGATGCTTTCTACTTCCATACACAGTTATAGTCTCAGAAATCCATGGGTGGAGAGGGGGCCCTATCAGGTCGCTATGAATCAGACTCAACTCAGTGGCAATGAGTATCTGCTCTTAAATTTGAAACACGATTCTTAAACACAAAACAAATAATTACATGATTCTTAAATGCATTACCCAGACTACTTGTTGCTTACCTTTATTTTCTTTCTAAGCAGACTACCAGGGTTCCAGCACACAGGGAGAAGGCAACTTGGAAATACATCAACCATGTAGATAGAAAACTTCACCACAAAGGTAGAAGAGGATGAGGCCAGAGAAGTAGTCAGAGGCCAGCACCTGAAGGATTCTGAAGTCAAAGATGGCTTTCAGCCAAGCTACAGAGTGGCCTAGATGGGAACAGTAGCAGCAGAGGGGCACATGCTCCTTAGTCCAAGCAGCCAGAGGAAATCAAAGGGCTACCCATGCCCTGGGGGCGGGGAATGGGGTGGGGAGGGGAGAGCTCTGAAGGCAAGAGGGGATGGGAAAGAAGGAGGCCTGGGAATGGTCAGGACCAGAACAAAGGGGGAAGACCATCATCCAAGTCACCAAACGAAATGTGTGTGAATTGTTGACTGGAAAACCAATTTCTCAGTGAATTTTCACCCAAATCACAACATAAAGTTGTTCTTTTGTAAGCAATAGGAATTCATCATAGGTTTTGCTGGTGGTTGGTTTTTAAAGAAGGGAACGCCATGACCGGATGTACACCTTGGAGAAGCACAGCTGCCTCAAGTCATTAGAAGAGTTCTCTCAAATGAACCCCAACTCATGGCATCTGCAAGACTCTCAAGTAGAGCTGCACTCTGTAGGGTTTTCACGCCAACATGAGACACCAAACGCAGTGCTATCGAGGAGACCCCACCTCTGAGCAACCTTCTAGGACAGGGTGGAGGTGCCCCTCTTTACAACGGTAGAAACCCTCACCTTACTCCTGAGAAGCGGGTGGTGATTTCAAATTGCTGACCTTAGAGTTAACAGCCCAACAAAACTCCTTGTCATCGCCATGACTTGTTGAAGGAAGATTTCCAGGCCTTTATTCCAAGGCACATCTGGGTAGGCTTGAGCCGCCAACCTTTCTTTCCCCTAATGCAGCGGTTTTCAATCTGCGGGTCACGACCCCTTTGGGGGT